AAGATCGTAGGCTTCAGAATCACCAATATCCGACTCGTCGGCGACTGTCGCAGTTGTCTTGTTCACGATGTCGAACTCCAGCATCAATGCCAACCTCACACACCCTCATACACCGTCGTCGTCTTCAACATTATCACCGACGATTCTCAAGGAAATCGTAAGTCACAATCCCATTCATCTTCTCGAATGACAGTTATCTCACACCGCATCACAGCAAGATGCAAACGTCCCCCTCTTCATGACGGGCCTCCTCCTCCCCCACGCCCTTTGCACCATCTTCATCGCCTCCCGAATAGCCTCCCGTCTCTGGGTAACTCGCAAATGGTTCCTCGACGACACCCTCATCCTTATCGCATGGCTCTTCTCCACGGCCCTCTGCGTAGTCTACAGCATCACCGCCACCACGCCCTCCCTCCTCGGCGCCCCTTCGCTATCTTCAACTGCCACAGCCGACACCGACGCAAACCCGTACATCATGCGGACCTACCTAGGCCTAATCTACTACCAGCTCGCCCTCTGCCTCACAAAACTCTCCATCCTAGCCTTGTATCTCCGCGTCTTCGCATCCTCCTCCCGGCCCCGCGAACGCCTCCTCGCCCGCGCCGCCGTCGCCTTTGTCCTCCTCTACACCCTGCCCTTGCTTCTCATGTCCTTTCTTCAATGCAACCCCGTCCAAGGCCAATTCTTCAGCCGCCCGGTGCCAGTATGCTTCCGCTTCCCAGACCTTCTCATCGCCAGCGCGAGTCTGCACTCCGCCACAGACGCCTGGCTCGTCGCCATGGTTGTCCCCTCCGTCGCGCGTCTCGACCTCCCCCGTCGCCAAAAGATTGCCCTCGCAGTCGTCATGAGTCTCAGCGTTCTGGTGATTGTAGCAAGTATGGTCCGGCTACAGCTCAGTCTGCACCTGCACTACCGGCCCACCGACGACGCCGGCGTCCGCAACACTCTCGGCTTCTTCGTCATGACGGTGTTGGAATGTGACCTCGCCGTCATCTGCGCCAGCGCACCCACTCTCCGCCCTCTACTGGCGCGCCTCTTCCCTTCCGTGATGATGAGCAGCGCAAAGCGGCGCTCGCTCGAGGCCGGCGGCGCTGAGACACAGAGCTTTGATCTTACCAGCCTGACGTACCATGGCTACCCCTGGACGGAACCCAGCACGCCCGCCGGGTTAGCAGCGCGGAGCCGGAACGCGAGTATCGCGAGCCACTTGAACAAGCTGCGCATGCCGGCGCCGCCGTTGCCGACGCTTACCATGGCGCAGCTGGGCCCCGCGAAATTGAGTCTGGGAAATCTTTTGATTACGGGTACGGCGCCGCGGAGGCCGGGGCGGAGTTGGCATGTTGCGGAGGACGGGAAGCCGATTCTGTTTGAGACGGCGGAGAGGAGGGGGGCGGCGGCGGCGGCGGGGTATAAGACCCAGGCTTCGTCGATTTATTCGCAGGATATGACGTGTAGTGGGGATGAGTCGTGGCGGGAGGAGGAGGAGTTTGAGAAGAAGGGCGGGGTCATTCTCAAGACTATGAGGTTGAGTCTTCGATCTGAGTATGTTACGCAGAATGAGACAGACGGAGGAGACAAGGAGACGGGAAGTGTTGACCGTTCGAGCCCGACGTCTGGATTCAGTGGCGATACCTGGGCCGTTGACAGAAGCAGCTCAGGGACGGCTGGGGGCGATGGAGGCGGTGGGAGAACACGCATAGGGAGATTTATGGAAGAGATACCCCGGGAAGAAGCAGTTGAGACGCCAGAGGTTCCCAAGAAAAGCCCTTTGAGGGATAGTCGACGAAGATAATGACCAATACAGATTGACGATTTGATGACTCTAACGAAGGCTCCCCTCCACAAACCTCTTCAAGTCGTTCCCCTGCGTCTCAAACCTTTCTTGTAGAGTACCCTTCAGCGGTAACAGCGTCGTCGCTCCGGGTAGGTAATAAGTCTCATACGACACCATCCTGACCGACCCATTTCCTAAATCTGTCAACAAGTTGGGATGCTCTGCCGGCAAGAATGCGCCATCGAGTCCATCATCGTTGCCCCACGCGTTGACGGCTCGTGTAGCGCCGTCGTCACTGCCGCACACATTCGGCGCAAGTAAACTGATGACCTCGGTCGAGGATGTATTGACACCAGGAATGATACCAGCTGTGGTGAAGTTCATCGATAGGCCGGGGTACACGTCCCCCAGTCCCTGCACATCGGGCGGGAGGCCGACGTCGATTACAAAGGTGTTCCAGGTACTGTAGCGGCGGAAGTCGAGAAGCGCGTCGTAGATTTTGTTGATGGGTGCGTTAATCACTTCTTCGGTGCAGACTGTGAAGAACGCGCCTGTGAGATCGTATGAGGGCGTAGGGAGGATGGCGCTGGAGCTGCAGCGTAGGGAGGCGATTTGGGATAGTGAGGCTGAGGCGGTCACGGCAAAGAGCCATGAACTCGAAACGCCACGCATTTTGAGACCTTCCAAAGAATTTTCCTCGAACCTAGTTTGGTCTACCTGGGGAACAGCGATAGAAGTGAGAGAAGATATGTTGGCGATCGAGGGCAGAGCGTCGATGATGTATCTGTCTAGGGTCTTTCAGCTTACATGTAGGTACCCAGGCGAGCTGAAAACTCCATGACGTGGCCATGCAGACACGAGCGCCCACTACCTTACGTGAACCCTCAGGCACACATATGGAGAGTGGGCACTTTGCCAGACATGAACACGCAGCAACTCTACTCCCACCTTAGCTGACGATCCTACCGACCTCCGCCAAGTGGAAATTGCAAGCGTCGTGACATCCGAGTCTTGGTCTTTGCCATCTCAACTCTCACATTTGGTTGGGGTGCTAGACAGTTATCACAAGCGAGTAAATATATTTACAGGGGAATATGGAATGAACGTTAAGCCAATTCAATATCCTCGCTCTTTATGGACCAGAAGTTGAGTGAAGTGGAATTATTGTATATTGTGTATTATCATGCTACGGAGATCGTAATTATACGGCGTTTTCAGCACCCTCTTCGTGCGGGATAAGTTCTGTCTGTGGGAAGGGCCACGAGGAAAGTTCGAGGGGAGGCAAAACCGTTGATAAGTTGTAGTCAAACATTCCAAATTCATCAGGCCTATGTTCCACGCTTGGTAAATCGCGATCAAGAGGGAAATCCGCTGTAAAGGACTGGCCCAAGGCTCCCGGTTGATGTAAACTGGCAAAAGATTGCGAGCCAAGCACTGCCCTCTCTTCTGACCCTAATGTTTGAATATCCGCTGGAACATCCGTAGGTACTGGGCGGATGTTTTGCTGTGAAACGGATGCAGTTGCGAATGAATCTGTCCTTGGTTGGAAGTGACTTCCTATCCCAATACCGCTGTCCACCAATGACGCAGCGGGTGTCTCATTGCGTGTTAAATTGCGGTTTCGACCTATTCCTGAGTCCGAAGAGCCATTCGTGCTGAAAGTATCGCAGAAGGAATCCAAAGACTCTGAAATAACTCTCCTTAAGAGCTGCTCCTGGTCGGCGGCCACCCTGCCTTCATCTAGCAGTCCAGCAGCACGAAGATTCTGGACAAGGAGCGGCTCCGCGTGTCGCGCACAATGCTCCCGAAATAGGCAAACTTGCATAGCAAAAGCGGAATCTAGGTAAGCGGATTCAGGGCGTGGCTTCTGGGGGAAAACGATATCCCAGATTGCGAACCATTGCTGTTCTTCCGACAACTCCGCGTTTGCCTTTCTAGAGAGATCGCGGCTTCGTCTATGGGTAATTCCATCTAGCGCTCTCCCCTCAGGCGCAAGTTGGCAACCGAACCCGTCTGGTTGCGACACGTGCTGCGTGAGGCTTTCTTCGTCATCGAAGATTCTCAGGCAGCGGTTGCAATAATCGTCGGGGGTGTGCTTTCTCTTCAGGTGCTGCTTGACGTCCCGGATTCGTTTGAGCTGGAATCGTGAACAGGCGAAATATTTGCTGGGGCTCATCTTTCCAAATGGACAGGCCAGAAGCTTGATGTGCTGTGACGTTTTCTTAGACCTTTTGGAAGGTCTTGGATCGGTCGCGTCCTCTTCTGAGTCTGAGTCGTCGTTTTGGACATGTTTCCTCTTTCCACCTTTTTCTGCAGGCCCTAAAGATGCCACGATGCTGCGAGAAGACGATGAAACTGCCATTCCGTGATCTTGTCCACTGCCATAAGGTGGGTTCTCCCCGTCAGCTGCATATCGAAAGCCTGAAACGAGGCGGAAAACCACGGTATTCAAGACTGCCCGTATCGGATTGTCACCTCCCAGGGGCTCAAGTTTTTCCGATGATTCCGACATCGACAGCAAGTCAGATTCCAACAAGGATTCGGTCGATTCACACGGATGAATCCCGTATGAGCATTGGCACGAAACCCGGGAATTGGCATCATCGTCCCACGAAAGGCGCGTGACAATGTCTATGTCTCCAGTTTCCCCTGTGAGCTTCCCCGACGACGCTGTGCTCTTCGGGGACTCAGCTCCATGTGAGTCCATTGCCAATGAGCTAGAGGAGCTGGGGTACAGGCCTCCATCGTCTTTGAACCTACATGTAGATTCTCTTCTTACTGTTGACACGGAGTCATCTGCGGATTGTCAAAACTCAACGGTCGTAGACAATATGTTACAGAAAAGACAAACTATGATTTCGCTTACCTGCATCCAGACGGGATCCTCGGCATTGCCCAATTATATGACGGCCGCTCAGAATATTCTCTAGATCAATAGTTCTCCCGCTATATGCACCTTTGTGTGCCTGATTGCTAGGTTTCGAGCAAACGCAAGATAATTTCCGAGCACTCGGGGTTTCATGCCAGAGATACACATTCTGCACTTGCTCCACAAGAGAAAGCTTCTTTCGTGTCCCATCCAAACTGACTTTGGAAGCGGATCTGGAGTCTTTTCCTAGAAAATCTAGGAGATGGTGAGGAGAGACTTCAATACCGTTGAAAGCCTTCGGTCGGCGCAAGATAGGATACCCGGGAATGAGAACAACGTTGTCGCTTCTTAGTAACTCTATCCATTGAGACTGTTCCAAGAGTGAAAACTCGTCGAAAGCAGGTTTACCGACCCCGATATCAAAACATACACGGCCCTAATGAGATCAGAATACATGAAACGACCACTCTCCCTGGAAGTGTATACCTACTAACACATGAAGCGTAGCTATACTCATGATCACGGGAATCCGTTGTAGGACATTGTCCATTGATTGGTGAGGAGGGGCGTTTGCATATGAAGTCTGCAGCCATGCAAGCTGCTCACCGCACTCTGCAATGGTGTGTGCAGTACCGCGGAGGTTCATTATGAGAGTACCGTCTTCATAAGATGCTGATACCCGGGTCTCGTCATGCAAAACATCTGTACAGCAGTGAGCATACCCTCATTACTAGCCCAGAACAAGAGCTTACCTTCGTGAATTATGCCACTATCACCGACAGACGCCCAATGCACCAAGTTGAAGATCGTTCTCCAGGTTGAAGGCCATGTTTGCTTCATGTAATCCTCTACGGATGCTGCCTGTGCATCTCCGGAGCAAATTGTTATGACAATGGCCTCGTGCAGAGGGCTTTCAGATCTGAACAGGTTGAGACCGGCTGCGCCAAGGAGTAGCCATCCCGGCACTCGAAATGTTACGGAGTGAGTGTTTGGTGGTCGGCTTTTACTAATCTTGCCGGTTGGAAGGTTCTCTAAGATCTTACGCCGTAGAATTTCACGATGGTTGAAACCTTCCGACTCATCGAAATCTCGCCTGAGGGCCAATTCTCTTCGCAGGCTATCGATAAGCCACTTGAATGACTTGCTCTCTATGACGGTCTTGTTGTACTTCGATAGTTCCGCCGTGTCTATGGTATCTTCTTCGTCCGTAACCCCCACGAAAAGCTCGTTGTCGCTGAGAGAGGTCCCTACTTCCGTCGCCTTGCTCTCCCACAGGGCAAGCTTCTCGCTTAAGGGCATGCCGTCTCTCTTGTCCGCATTCTCTGCCGAAGCGTCGACACAGAGGACCATTGAGTCAAGTTGCGTTGCAATCTCCCTGTCTTCATTCAGTCTTCATGCGGATGTGTTCAAAGGATTTTATATGAAGGGAACGCACCGGCTACGTTTGTGTACGAAGTGCATTATGTCCCGGTTCACCTGGTCCGAGGATTCAAGGCCAAGTTTGATAGAAAAATCTTTGATAAGGACCAAGAGGCGTTCGGAAAGTGACATCCAGTGATCCAAGTCGATACTCCCGCTGAGTTTACTATGGATAGTGCTGGACAACTCGGAGATATACCGCTGCGCTTGATCCTTTGCCACACTGCTCGCTCCTGAGTATACGGTTCTAGCATCAAGGTCATTTCCGTCATAGCCAGGTGTATTAGCACCTCCCAATTCCATTCCCGGGAGATTGCTAACGTCGATCCCTGACGCATATCCGGAATCAGTGAAAGGGGCTTCTTGCTTCGCAGGAGTCGGCAGGGACTGCGAGTAACTCCCTTCTATTTCTTCCAATTTTAACGCATTATCACTATTTATGGTCCTCTTCTCGTTGTCTTGGGACCATAAGTGATCGTTGATGGAGTGTTTACTTGTCACTGTGACCCTTGAGGCAAAAGATGCAGCGTCGTAATTTGGCCCACTACATCTAGGTAGCATGCCTGGGACTGGCTGCTGCATGTCTTTGGTGGGCGAATGGCCCTGCTGACCATTCCGCTTTCGAAACACGAAATTCCCCTGTGTATTGTCAACAATCCGTTGAAAACGAGCGAGCTCTTGGGGTTGAGCCTTTCCATCTGCGACTCGTTGCATCAGCTTTCGAAGGTTAGGATTTAGTGACGCCATTTGAGCTAATTGCTGAATCAAAGCTCTGACAGTCAGCTTCTCATCAGAGCTCCTAGCATTCCGAGCTTCCTGTTCCTTCGGTGATTGACGAGAAGTCGGGTCAAGGAATTGCCTCTCCGTCAGGTATCCAGGCGAACCAGCCGGCTGGCGCTTTGCTTGACCAGCCTGGTCAGCAAGAGTCGGCGATGCCATCGTTCCTGCAAGTATATTGAAGCACCTCGCTGAAAGATCAGTGGAAAGAGGGTACGAAAATGCTGCCAAGTCGGCGTTCTGTTCAGAAAAGGGATGAAGAAACTGCGAATACAACGGCCGTTATGATGCTGTGCGTCTCTGCTTGCGAGGGAAACGGAATCAGGGCAAGAATAAGAGGGGAAAAGGAAATTTCAGCTTCTACACATCAACTTTAACGTGCTTATGGCCACTGCCATCAAGGGGTGCCACATGCCGGTGCCTCATTCGCTGGAGCGATCCCGACCAAGTACTTGGAGGCAGGGAATTCTACCAATCACGACCAACCCAAAGCACAATAGTGCTCTTCATATCGAAGACAGTTCTTGTGCTCTGCTGGAATACGGTTGCTAGAGGCTTTTGGACGGGTTTGCGGTCAACGACTAAGACTTCACATCGCGATCATGTAGGTACTAGGTATTTGGCCATGGAAGAGCACTGCATATAATTGGAAAATTTTAGCTATTAAAGAAGCAGTTGAGGAGATGCTCAGATCAAGTAGAATGGAGTTGTCCATAAATAGATGCAGAGAGGCTTTGATCAGAATTACGACTTCGTAATACAACGAGATTGAGGAACGAATTGAAGTCAATTCTGTTCAGACCACCTCCAGTTACGATGTCAAAAAGATCCAGATCATTGGCGACCATGGCCGATGACACTCAGTAAGTTTTGCGTCAATATTACACACTCTACTGCCCCATCATAACGATTAAACAGAAAGGACTTCTTCGATGTCTCCTCATTCAGATTGGAACGATTTTTAAGCGATCTACCTACGGTCGGTGAGGTTGTGATGATGAGCCGCTCGGCAACCCCCATATCTACGACACAGCGCAGAACAGAGGACATGAAGCTGGCCATTCGTGACTGGGAGGAGTCATGGTGCAGAGCGAAACCCAATTAAGACGAGATACAGATATCGGAATCGCAGAGGGAATGGGTGTTGTGATAATCAGCCAAGACAGGTTGGCCATAACTATCGATGTATAACGATGGCCCTCGATGCGCCAGTAAAGTGGATTGGACCATCCTCAATAGTCAGTCGGATGTTGCCGAAACGTCAAAGATGAGTTCACTGGTCGCATGAGCAAAAGATTCCGAAACCGAGAATCGAACTCGGGGCTATGCCTAACCTCTCACAGAGATGAGAGGGCATCATGTTGGCCACTACACCATATCGGATGTGGATACTGCTGCAGATCCCCTATAGTGACTACTATGCAGGGATCCGTTGGCTCATCGGGTTGAATAGCGAAATCCGAAGTTATCCATAGTCAAACGAGCTTTGAATAGGGAAAGTGCATCTTGAGCTTTCGCTTGTGGAAATTGTGTGGCGGTTGGAGCTCGTGCTCAACGTGAACTAGGCCCGAGCGACCCCAACCTAGAGAAGGGTGAATGTCGCCAACACTAAGCCATGTTGGTATGGTGGCAAGTCACCAGCAACTATAATTGAAGACCTAGTGAATTCTGATTCCGACCGCATGGCTCTACTTACTTTTGGGGAAGTACTAGTGCAGGGGTAACAAGTCTTCGGGTCTACACTAGACCTTGATTTGTGACTATTCATTACGTCGTGCCCTGTAATTTAATCATTCTCGAAGTGGCTTACCTCAAACCGAGATACAAATCTTACAAGATCTCCCGCCTTGCTCAGAGAAAAATCCACCGTCATGCTCGCGCCTCTCTTCGCTTCCATGTGTCACAAACATGGCTCACACTCGTTTGAATCTATACACGGCAGCCCGCCTCTTGTTCTTTCTATTGTCCCTTGTGAAAGCTCTTCCCAGCAACTCTCCAATCGAGGCCCGCGATGGCTCGTACACATACTTAGCATGTTATACCGATGCAGTCGCTGGTCAACGAACACTGGGAGGGCCAGCAATCGCCGACGACACCATGACAGTTCAGAAGTGCAGCTCCTTCTGTACAAAGTACAGCCACTTTGGCGTCGAGTACGGCAGAGAATGCTATTGCGGCAATACAATCCAAAGCCAAGCGCTTGCAGTCGACCGAAATGAATGCAGCTTCGCCTGCTCTGGCAACCCCTTGGAAGTCTGCGGCGCTGGAAACCGTATGAATATTTATACCAATTTGGGGTTCTCTAGTCCGAAGCCCGCCACGCTCGTTGACCATGTCTACTTGGGTTGCTTCATCGACAACGGCGACCGGGTGCTTCCCAACAAGCCCTTCGCTTCCGACACCATGACAGCGGCATTCTGTGCTCAACACTGCCAGGGTTACACCTACTTCGGTACGCAGTGGTCGCGAGAGTGCTACTGCGGTAACGTGGCGCCGCAATCTGCTGCTCCAGAGTCTGAATGTTCATTCACTTGCTCCGGGTCCGATGCCGAATCATGCGGCGCCGGCATGAGACTCAGTGTTTACGGACCGCCGGTGGTATCATCGCTCCCCGGCACAACTCCCTCACAAGGCTCAACGCCCTCTCCCGTCTCACCAGCGGCAGCAGCTACCGTCTCTGGGTACGTCTACCAGGGTTGCTACACCGATAACCTGCCTCAGCGCGTTCTCACTGGAGACCTTGTCCGCGATCCCACGATGTCCCTCGAGAAGTGCGCCTCGTTTTGCAGCACCTCCCACTACACCTACTTCGGCGTTGAGTTCACGGGAGAGTGCTATTGCGGGATGGCTTTAGATACGGCCAGTGCGAAACAGTCAGAGGTTGCGTGTGCAATGAAGTGCGGCGGTGACGGCACAGAGATCTGTGGCGACGCCAACCGCATATCAGTTTATGCTCTACCGCAAACATCAACGATTCCAGTCGTCAAGAACTTAGCAACTGTCGGCGGCTTCTATTACTCCTCTTGCTGGGTCGATAACGTGGATGGGCGTCGCTCGCTCTTTGCAAAAGACTACAGGGCCGACGATATGACTGCTGAGAAGTGTGCTAGTTTCTGTCAGGGGTACAGCTACTTTGGTCTGGAGTACTCCCGAGAGTGCTACTGCGGCAACACTGTCGGCGGTTCCATGGCTTCAGAGAAAGACTGCGGGCACGTCTGCGTGGGAGACTCTTCGCAATGGTGCGGAGGGGGCGATCGTCTTAGTCTCTACAGCATCAATCCGCCTATTATTTCGTCATCGTCGTTCTCAATGACATCAACCAGCTCACTTGACACAGCGAGTGTTGCCACATCTGGATCAACCCCGTCTACTCAGAATACTTCTTCAAGCTCCTCCAGTCTTGCAGTTCCTACTACCTCAACAGGCCTGGAGTCTTCCGCGACTACGACTTCACCGACTGCCTTCTCTTCATCGGAAACGACAGGGAGCTCACCAACCTCAACTTCCTCCATCTTTGACAGCTCCGGAACATCTTCAATCCCTAGTTCCACTGCGTCGAGCACCTTGAGCATGTCCACGTCCCCAACATCGACCTTTACCTCGTCCTTCACTTCTTCAGTATTAATCTCATCTTCTAGCTCAAGCATCAGTAGTAGCTCAACCAGCAGCAATGGCATCGTTTCCAGTTCTACCACAAGCTCGGCCGCAGCGGCAGCAAGCACCTGCAACCCAGGCTACCGAAATGACCTAACCGCTACATTTTCAAAGACCTTCGGCAGCGCCTTCGACCTTCAGACATGGGCGGTGACCACTTCGTCCCAAACTACTTATTCATATGTCCAAGGCGACGCAAATGCTTTGGCCTACAACATGTCCTTTGCCTCCGTCAACGCCGTCCGCACCACAAAGTTCGTTCAGACCTTCAACGTCGTAAGAGGCGCAACGTATCAGGTGTCACTCCGATGCCAACTCGGCGGGACGACGAGTCAACCCCCAACTGCCGCAGTGCAACTTGCCGCCCCCTCGACCACCGTTCAGTCAGTCGTGACCCAGTCAGCCGACTCTCAGCAGCTCCAAAGCTGGCAAACAGTTACTGCTGTGTTCACACCAGCTCTCGATGCTATGACCGTCACGATCAGCGCGACAAGTCCGAGAGGTGCAGTGGCGTGGGTGATTTTTGACAGACTCGAAATGAAGATGATCACGCCCACAACCAATGTTGCACCAATAGTGAACGGAGAAGTTCTCACGTTTGCAGACGTTCGCTCAGGCGCAGTCACGTTTCCCAGCTGGCTCAAGAAGCCCGCAGAAGGGAACATCGTCTACGGGGCCAAGCCTGTCTTCGGGTTCGCGTCACCGGGGTACAAAGGTGCGGGAACCTCGCGGAGTGTATGGTTCAATAATCAACCGCCATTGACGGCAAATTCTGGCGGACCGGTATTCTACTTTGCTGGGTACGGCGGAGATGGTTTGAAATATCAGAAGTACGTGATGCGAACGCGTGTGCGATCTGTCAGTAGCCAGGGCTGCTATCTGTCGATGACTAGTTATGATGGGGGACGTACTCAGGTGGCTGGGTATTTTATCATGGACGGCTGCGAGCAACAGTGGCAGACGATTGAGTCGGGGTCTTTTACACCTGTTTATGACTTGCTGATACAGGCGCAGTTCAGATGTCCTTTCTCTCTTGGATTGAATGCAACGTTCTGGCTGGACAACATTGAGATGGTGCCAGTTGCTGGTTGAAAGCAGGTACAGGTAACAACTAGGGCTCTTCGATCCCGGATTGCACCGGACGACACGAGTAAGGTAGCCTCTTGATAGCTACATGTGTTGGGAAGAGATCTGTAGTTTGAGTCAATTTGTACGGAATTAATGATTGCTTCTCATTTTGACTACTTTATGTTGGTAGCTAATGGATTTGCTGCTACGTACTTAAGGTAGGCAAAGTCGAGACGGAACTGATTAACCCATGTCATTGCGCAACTCTGATCATGGGATGTAACAGCTCTCATCGCGCACCTAAGCATAACACAAGTCTGATAGGGCTTGTAATTACGGCATGTAGCGATATTATCAAGAAGATCATCGAGAAATTTTCAGCTGTTGATCGAACGAGTAAGCCCGCAGGTATATTGCTGTGGTCATCGTCCGTTCTGTGTCGCACTCACTCCGAGACTGCTCCCTGTTCTTGTCGCTTGTACTTGATGCAGCCCCTAAGCGCTAACAGTACCTGTTCCCAGCAGGACCCATAGTGACGGTTGTCTCAGCACTCAAGTTGACTAAACACGAAATCCATTGTCGCAACTCGCCGCCATTGCTCTTCAACGCGGCGCAAAAAGTTCGAGTATATAGGCAACTTTTGGATGACGTGCTCATGGTCTCACTAAAGCATCGAACCGCCATTGAATATCTGTTTGGGGTTGGATTATTTTCCTAATTCATGCCAAAACTTTCACAACTCGTCGATCACTGTGGTGCCAATGGCAACAGTCGCATGACGATTTCCAAAAGCCGAAACGGAAAAGAATGGGAAAAAGAAAATTTCTTCTCCCTGTCGAGCAGTTGCATCTGCCCAGTCTAATAAAACCCGGTGGGATGGCCACGCGGCAATCGCCCCCGGATGAACGGACTTGAGTTCCGGGCAGAAATGATGTTGCGCGGCGCGGGCAGAGAAGCGCACGAACCACTGAACATTGCTGCTCGCGCACAGCGGGTAGTAACTGTGAGAGTTTTTGCTAGGGATTGTTTATTTTCACATCGGAAACAAAGATAGCTACTGACTCGTGGGAAAGCCAAATATGGTGCACGTAAGGAGTCAGGTTTGGTTCAACTACATCACATCGCAGGGGAACAAGACAAGATAATTTTTTTTTCCAAGAAAGGCTGTCATTTATACAGGCTGTAAAGAAGATAAGGTATCTACAGAATCGAAAGCTGCCGCTAATCCCACTGCCACTGGGGGTAACCTTGACCCGGGGCGAAATGGTTTTATCTTAGAAGAGCGTAACAAAGTCAAATCCTAAAAGCGGATATGATTTAGATCTTGCCGTAACCAGCGCTGCTGCTGGAGACGGAAGAGGCGGCAACGGCGTCGGGGATATC